TCGTCCTCGTCTGCTTTTTACTGCGGTAGTTGTTTAAGGAATAAAATAAAATAAAATAAATCTGTTGTTGCAAACTAGTTTTACGATGTCTAATGGTAAGTAGGTTGTTAGAAAAAGTTTCAAATGTACTTTCATTACCTATTTAACTTTTGTGAATAAAAAAGTCGTAGACAGTAAGGTCTGGTAAACCAAAAAGTTTGAACTCCTATAGAAGTAAAATACTGTTAAAAAATTGGGCTATCGTGCATCTGAAAAGAGCTTGAGGACCAGACCTTCTATAAGACATAATTCGTAGACTGAAACGATGGCCTCATCCCGGTGGCCAAGGACGGAGTGACGTCACGGAATGAAAGAGTGAGTTGACAGAAAATATTCTACTTGAGTCCTGAAATTATTTCTTTTTAAAAATCTAATATTTTATTGTTATTTAGTGGTATTTATATTTTTATTTTTAAACTATGTTCTAGTATTAGAGTTTTTATAATATCGGTAGGTTTATTTTTTTTTAAAGACGAGCTTTAAAACAGCAAAGAAAAATCATGTAATGATTTTCATAAAAATTTGAAATAAATTACTTTTTATTTAAATTATAGAGAGAAATATTATTATGTAGAGGTTAATTTAAACATTTTGGAGTTAGGATACGGCTTCCGAATCGAACTCGGGCCACATTTTGATTATACCCCGAAATAATTTGAAATTTAAGCATGTCTGGAGCGAGCTGTAGTGTTGCTGTTTATTTCTTTATAATTCAAATAAAAAGTATTTTTTTTTTAAATTTGTAGAAGTCATTTCATAATTTTTCCTTCCTATTTTGTAGTTTATCTTTCAAAAAATCAAACTACCGATATTATGAAAACACTAACTGGAAAATAGTTCAAAATTATAAATATAAACACCATTAAATATCAATAAAATATTATATTTTTTAAAAAATTTATGTACGAACCGCAGCAGACTATTTTCTGTCACCTCAATTTTTCATTTTGTAACGTCACACCACCCGTCTCCTAGCAACTGCACGAGGTCACCGTATTGTCTTTGAACCATGTAATTTAGACATGTTTTCTCCTGTTTTTAAATGATAGTTGAATTCTGTGATCTACCGTGGGCGTAATAAACTTTGACTGATCTTGAGAATGTGTTCTATTTGAATGTCGTGAACTTCAAATTCTCGCAGTTAATACAACTGTCAAAGTTGATCAGACCAGCCCCGGATCTAGAGGGGGCAAGCCAGACCCCGTGCTCCGGGCGGCAAATTCAGAGGGCGGCAAATAGTAAAATAATTTTTTTTCATAAATAGGGTTTTGAAATCAATTCATAAATAATCAAAATTTATTTGAATTATATCTGTGCAAAACAGGTCAAGTGTTTATTGGGTCTTATAACCTGCTTAATCCATAATTGGATAAATTTTCAATTGCCCAAAACGTTGAGTGATTTTAAAACGGTATTAGCTTTAAAAATTTCCAAAATTAAATACCTATTAAGCATATAAGGCACCTTTTGTACTACCTGTCATAATCCATAATTCTTTTAGTAAGAAATCCTTCTAATGACTTTAGAGTGATTCTTGCTTTGGGGAAAACAAATATCTGATTTGTGGGAAGCAGTTAACTACCTGCAATTAGGATAATATATAAAGGAATAAAGCTACAATCTAAATTTATTGTGCTTTTCATTTTTGAAAAAGTTTGTTCTTGAAGTTATTGGTACTTTGTATTTACTGAAAGTGTTTTTATTACCTATGTATTTTTGTGGATGTTATCTGTGTTCACTGTTACTGTTTTTATTATTATATCTCATATATAAATAGTAAGAAATAAAAAAAGGTAAGAGAAAGAAAAAAATAATTAGATTTATCTGGGTGTATGTGTAGTAATAAAAAAATTATAGGAGTATTATCTCCTAACAATCAGATTATTTCGATTTTTTCTTTTAAAGTTAATGGTATTTTAAAAAAACTATAAAATGACTGACATTTAATACTGTTAAATGTTGCTTTTCAAGGTACACTAAACATCTAATAAAAGAGAAAAAAATGTAATTTTCGTGTATAGATCAAAATAACAAAAAAATTAAAAATATGAATTTTGTCATGAAAATTGGTATATGAGGTTGGGTTAGGAAAAACAAGTATTGTCACCGAATGCAATTTTGCGGAACGAAACGTGTTTCGTTAAATTTTGCAAAGAATGAGGTTTACAAAGTCATTACAATACATATTTTTCATACTGTGTTCAACATATCAAATTTATGTTTTATAGGTTGAAATTATGAGCACGCCCAGAAAAAAACTATCGGGAGCGGAATATAGAAAAAAGGCCAAAGATAGAGTCCTTCAGGGAAAACAATATGCGGAAAAGATGAAAAAGTGGCTCAGCGGAGGAGGTGGCGCGTCAGTACCTGCCACCTATCCAGCTTGCGAAGATGTTCAACTAGAGGATATTTCATGCACTGATGATCAAAATTTATCACCTGCATCGTCTAGCCAAACTGCGAGAGTGCAAGAACTATTTGAAAGAATTGAGACAGAATACAAAGAATCTGAATCGGATCACTCGGATTCAAATGAATGGAAAACCGAAATTGATTTGACAGACCCGGGCAATTGGCCAGACATTGAAAAAATGACCGACCTGCAACGATCTTTATTTACTACTCAAGCTGTGTTATTAGAAGAAAGTCATCCAGAAAACATTGAATTTAAATCCACTGAACGCGATGGTAGACATTTAACATCTGCTATGTGGTACAAAACATTGACCAATGATGAAAAGCTTAAAAGATCTTGGCTTGCATATTGTAAAACAAAAAATATAATTTTTTGTGCATGGTACAAGATTTTTCAGAAATCTTCCTCTTCCGGTACATCTGCATTGTGCACTACAGGATTTATTAATTGGAAAAAGGTTATGAGAGATTAACCGAGCACGAGGCATCTCAAATGCACAAAGTGTGTATGATTAAGTGGAACACTCGAGTTCAACAAATTAAATCATGCCAGGGTATTGATCAAGACATTGAGCGAGTAATTCAAACCGAAAAAGAAAAATGGAGACAGATCCTGCATATGGTTATGGATGCTGTATTATATCTAGCAACAAACTGTCTTTCTTTTCGTGGTTCCCACGAAACCCCTAGCGATCTCATCACACAATGTCCTGGTCAAGGAAATTTCTTGAATTTAATTTTGCAATTTTGCAATACAGAATGAAATTATTGACATAATGGCAAATACAGGCAGAAATAGGATTCTAAACGACATCAAAGAAGCCAAATACTATACAATAATGTTCGATTGCACTCCAGATGTGTCGCATACAAAACAAATGAGCCAGGTCATTTGCTATGTAAAAAAAAACTGGTGATGTGTGTGACATAAAAGAAAGTTTCATTAACTTTATAGAAGTTGCTGGAAAGACAGGAGAGCACATTTGTCAACAGATAATCGTGGCCAATCTTATGATAATGGATCAAATATGGCTGGCACCTATAACGGAGTGCAAGCCAGGATTACAGAAAGAAATGAGCTGGCCGAGTTCGTACCGTGTTTGGCTCACTCCTTAAATCTTGTCGGTGTCCATTCTGCCTCTTCATGCCTGGAAGCAATATATCTATTTGGATTAATTCAAAAAGTATTTTGCTTTTTTGTCGGCTCTACTACTCGATGGGATACTGTAATAATTGACATTATTATTATTTGAAAAATATAAAGAAATAAGTATTTTAATGTTTTTATTATTATTAATCTAGTCAATGGTTACATTGAGCGTGACAAAAATACAACCATCAGATACATTTTGGTTTATATAGAGAGGAGTCAGAAAGAAAGACACTCAATCGAGTGCGGACTAAGGTCCAGACTTTCGCCGAGGGCGAAAGCTCTCTTTTTTTGGGATTCCTTAAGTCCCAAAACAATGTAATGTCTAGAGTAAAGTTTTGTGTACGAATTTGTAAATATGGGTAAATATCTTTAACTTAATTTTAAAGTGTTTTGTTTGATAGTATTTAATTCATTTACATATAAATGCCAATTTTACATTTTCGTCCCGAATTATCATATTTATCTTATAAATGTTTTTATATTATTATGTAGTTAAAGTGTTTCAGTGCTATTTATAATTGTTAATAGGTCCAAACTTATTATTCAATAAAACGTTTATCTAGTTATCTTAAATATTTATTTTAAGTTCGTATCTATTAACAAGTAGTGCTTTATTTCCTAAATGTAATTTATATTCATTCTTTCTTAAGACTATTAGTCAAATTTTGTACTTATTTTAAATATACATTTGTTAATGTTTTAATACATATTATTAATCTCTCCCCCCTTTCCAAACCAGTAAAATATTCCGAGCATTTGAGAAGTATCGGTATTTCTATTCCCTTAGGACTAAAAGAGTCTAAAACTAGTTGCCAAGAAACGCTCGACTATGCTATTAAGGGATAATTTTTGTTCTTTTAATTTAATTTTTTTTATTTGCCACTGGTGAATGGAGGTTCCTTTCAGGACTCCACGACCCTTTGGCTAGTGACGATGCTGCCCTAATCCCTTAATAGTATATTAACAATAGTAGCTAAAGACCTATCAGTAGTTACAAATGGGTTTTAGGCTAGTTGGTTGTTACATTTAATGACAAGTGGTGGTCTTTAGGCATCTCGGTTGTTACAATACTATGAAGAAATTTGTTAAAACCAATTTAAAAGGAAGCAGTCAGACGAGATGGTCGGCAAAACATGTTGCTGTGGAAGCCCTTTTAAATAATTTGGTGGAATCCTTGGAAGAACTTAAGCAAACTTCTCATGCTCCGGAAGCAAAGTACAAGGCAGGTAGTCTCTTAAATGCAATAAAGAATTTTAAATTTATATTGAACTTGACGATTTGGGCAAATATTCTCCGCGAAAACAATCGAGTGAATATTGAAATTCAAAAGAAAGATATAATCCTTGCGTGTTCCGTTTCTTTAATGGATGGTCTGATGAAAACTTTACAAAAAATGAGAGAAAATTCAATTGGATATTGGATAGAAGAGGCTAAAGAAGTTGCTGGAAAAATTGGCGTCGAACCTATACCGTCAAATAAACGAATTCCGAGGTGCAAAAAACAATTTGATGAGATGTGTAATGACGAATCACAAATACTTCAACCAGTTCAACTTTTTTCTCAAGCAACAAAGATGTTATTTGATAGAGTCTTATCAGAAATTAAAAAGAGGGTTGATGGTGCTACCACGTTGAATTCGAATTTCGCATTTCTAAATGGTACTAAATTTTGGATATGTCAAATGAAAAACTGCAGAAGCATGGAGCAGATCTGGGACGAAAATACAAGCGAGATTTAAACGCGGTTGAATTCTGCCAGGAACTCTACCTTTTTAAAGAGCAAGGTCCACTTTTATTTACAGATATAAAAAATGCTAGCGCTTTCAATCTCTTGCAACAGATTTATACGCATGATTTGCAAGATGCTTTTGTATTGCTCTTACTGTACGCTTTCTACTACATCCGCAAGCTGCGAGCGAAGTTTCAGCAAACTTAAACTTATCAAAAATTATCTACGATCTTCGATGAGCCAGGAACTTTTATCAAGTCTTGCCATTTTAGCAATAGAAAATCAAATTGCTCATCAAATTAATTATGATAAGGCCATAGATTTGTTTGCAGAACAAAAGGCTCGAAGAGTAAAATTATAATTTCAATGTGTAATATAATAATAATAATTCTAACCTCATGTTTTATTCAGACCCTATCCTGTCCTAACCTAATTAAAATATATGTCCGAGTCCGACACATCGTGGTATTTTTCAAAAAATATTGTCTTAACAGAGAAAGAGCAGCGGTAAACCGGTAGTTGTGGGGTTCTTTGGGAAAGGCCTATGTCCATCAGTGGCGGGTGGGGGCGGCACTCTTCAGTTTTTGCCTCGCCTCAAAAAAATTCAAGATCCTACATTTCAATGGATCTTCTTGGAACTGGCTACTAATCTCCCTTTCAGGTATAGAGTTTGCTGCAATATAATGCTTTGGATGACATGATAACTTGTGAATAATTTGTATTATTATTAGTCTGATTGTAACTAATCCACAAAAATTTCAAAAGTAAAAATGTTTAAATAAAAATTGAATTAAAAAATATCGTACAAGGGTTGTCCTAAAAGTAATGCAAAGTACGCTCTAGCGGGCGTTGTAGGCAACGTAGATAGCTAATCGAAGCGTCAGTATGTAGGTACATTGAAGTATGAAGGACACGTTGTTATCATATGGTATAATGGAATGCGTTTAAAGAAAAAATGCCAATATTCACGGTGTTATCTACGTAGTTGCCAAATTATTATGAGAAAGTATAGGAGACTATTGTTACAAATATTATCTATGGTTATAATTCGCTATTGATTTAACATAAGGCTCTAAAATGCACAAAATACTTTCAAAATTACATTAGCATTCTTGAATCCAGTTATTATCAGTAGGTATATTGTGTTTTTCTCTTTGCAACACTCATAGTTGAAGGTGTTTTACAGGAAAGTACGCAATTATAAAGTAAGCGTCGTAGACGTGAATACTAATTCATTAATAACACGCATGCTCGATCCTCAGATAAACAAACCCGCACAAACCATCCCCACTAAAATTAGCAGCTGTCTCCTTCTTTCTAATGCGGCTGCCGATGCGACAGCTCTGGCTGCGTAATATAACACACGTAATATAACACAATCTGAATTATTGCAATAAGTACGGGCTTAATTATAAATAAATGGATTAGTCTAGTAAATGATTGTCGTTGATTTTGCACGATAATTCGCTCCCGCACATCACTGTACTTCTCGAAAAATACGGCTGGAAACAGCTTGGTCATCCAGTTTATAGTTGTGATCTGAGCCCACCTGATTTTGATCTCTTCCCTAAGCTGAAGAAACCCCTTCGGGTGATACGTTTTCCGACGCTGAAAGAGCCCCGAAGAGAAGTGACCTGACAGATTCGGATACTTAATGAGAACGGGACGGTGAAAGGAAACTCAAGCTCTTGTGAGGCGCTGGCAAACGTGCATTGATAAGAGAAGGGATTATTTTGAAGGCTTGTAATCACGTGTATCTTTTTCAATAAATATTTTTTGAGTTAAAGCAAACTGTTCATTACTTTTGAAAAAATCCTCTTACTAAAATAATCAACTTTGTTACACCAGGTAACAGGTAATGGTTATACATCTTACATTAAACCAAATAAATTATTCTTAAAAATAATATTGAACCTCTCACGTAGATTTTGACTTAAATAAATAATAAAAACTCATAATACTACAAGCAATTGCGAAGCCTTGGAATTCCTACCCCTAGAAACTATCAAAGTCTTTAACCAGATGCCAAAACCTCTCTATATTATTAAAAGATTTTGCTGGTATTTATTTATTATTTTATACTATATTAAAATCTTTACCAATATTATTAATAATTTTTTATCTATATAAGAACATAAGATTTAATTTTATATTTTTATTTATGGATATTTTTATTTTTTTCTTTATTCATTAACTTTTTTTGGAAGGATGTTCCTTCAGGAATCCAGGACCCTAAGGCTGGTCAGTGCTGCCCCATTTCTTAATAGTATGTGGGTGATAGTGATCTAAATTCAATGCTGCCTCATTTCTTAATAGTATGTTGGTGATAGATAGACTAGTTAGAGATTTACACTAGTAAGAACAGTGTTTACCCTTATTTAGAGCCTCTATTTATTTAGAAATATCTTTTATTATACTTGCATATAGAACATATAGAATTCTGTTGTTTACAAAGGATTAGATATAAAAATTTAGGAGTTTTATGAAATCTAAAGCAGTTAAAATCCTGTCTACAATAACTCTTTTTGAGATATTTTCTTAGAACTAAATAAAAGAACATTAAAGTATAAATCAATAATTAAATGCATAAAATGAAAAAAAAAATAATTTTTATATTGGAATATTTCACGCTTTCTAGATGGACTTTTAATGTAGTCTTGTACTATATAAATAAATCTTTGTGATTGCTTCTATTTAATTCCCAAATAATTAGCTTTAAAATGAATTCGTTGCAACACGAATATAAAAAAAAGCTTTTTAGGGGCGCAAATTACATTATTATTATCCCCGTATTCCTTGTCGTTTGTTATCTTTCACTTGTAAAATACAATTCCGAACTCAAAGAGATAAAGTCATTCGTAGCAATATGAAATCGCTACACCTTTTAATTTCCAGTTCGTAATGCACCTAATTTACGTATCTGATAAACAAAGGCAACTTCATTATGTCCTCATAAATATTTGAGAGAAATATTGTTAATGGGCATGGCAATATTCCCTTTGTGTATCAGTTTACCGCTTAATTCCAATAAAAACAATATGACGAAACGTTAATGCGAGGGTAAGAGTCAAAGATACGCTACGTCATCCAGTGGCGTACTAAAAGGTAATTTCCTTTATCCATTTAAATAACATCAATGGATGCAACTTTAAAGGATTATAAATAACATTTTTCTACGAAAAGATATCTTTTGGGTACAGGATACTAGCAAAAACCTTATTTTCACCACTAGTGGAAGAAAATTCCATAACTTTCATTTTCGTCACTAGTAACGGAAGTAAATTTTCACATATCATCCGCCTCGTACATTATTTTGGCAGCTTACAATAATAAATAATAAAATATAAATGTGTTTACTTTATTTTTATTAACAGTTAACAATTGTTAACGTTGTTTTTTTTTTTTTGTTCAAGTACAGGGCATAATTATTAAGTTCTAGAAAAAGTATAACATCTTACTTTAAACTAATTATTTGAAGCTCACCTACACGACCAACCTAGTCTTTGCCTCGTTATTAAATTGTTCTCTCACTTCTTTAAATGTTATTTTCGTAATTAGCAAAACAAAATACTATTTTACTAGTTTAGATTAGATTAGGAGTTGGACGTTAATTGTCCTTGTCCACCGCGACCTTTGCAGATCTATTGTGGGACTCCGTTTATTTTAGAGTATGTCGTCTAGCCTGGTCTTTTTATTAGACTTTGACAGTGGCTCCCACATGTAGTTGCATGCATTTGGCTTTTCTTCGCCCAATGTTAGAAATCTCATTCCAACCAGGCCTTCACATTGGCACAGGACGTGGAATGATGTTTCCTCTTCTTCTTCACAGAACCTGCACAAAGTTGCTTCTTCTGCTGGATTTATGACGCTCATGTGCCTTTTGAGGCTACAGTGTCCAGTAAGAAGGCCTACTGTTATGCTAACGATTTGACGCTTTTGATCCAGTAGGTCTTTCGTGAACTTGGCCGATGGTTCCTTGATGAACTGTTTGGCCTGTCTCAGTCTTGAATAGTTGTTCCACCATTTCTGAGACTTTTTTTGCATCCATTGTTTAATGGATGCCTTGCACAATGCCTTAGCAACTCCACAGAAGGGTTCGGGGCCTGTCATGGCCTTATCTGAGCCTTCCCGGGCTAACTCGTCGGCCTTTTCGTTGCCCTGATATCCCTCATGGCCTGGAACCCTGGCTAGGGTAACCTTATTTTGACTACTTAGCTCTGGTAGGTCTTCTAGACAGTCTTTAACCAGTCGTGATTTGATTTCTGGTGAGAGAAGTGCCTTTAGAGCTGCTTGGCTATCAGAGTATATGGCAATTGTTTTACCTGATACTTGCTGATTTCATATTTCTCTTGCACAGTGTTGTATGGCTATTAGTTCAGCCTGGAACACTGTTGCATATTTCAATAAACTCAGCGAAATCGTTGCTTTCGGCTTGGGTCCATAGATTCCAGCACCGGATCCTTCCTTGGTTATTGAACCGTCTGTATACCGGACGAGTTCAGCCTGTACGGGAGGTGCCTATTTCCAGGATTCTCGGGCTGGTATTTGAATTTGAAAATTTCTTTCAAATTTGTATGTGGTTATGGCTCTATCAGTAGGCATAGCTAGAATATTATCCCTTTTTACTTCCTGATATAGCCTTGTGTGGTTGGCGCTATGCAGTTAGCACATTGGGTTTTGTCCCTGCATTAGCCTGTAAATAGTTGACCTGGTTTCTCCTTGTATGAAGATGTGCAGTGGCGTGAGATTTAATAATACCTCTATTGCTGCAGTCGGCGTAGTGCGCATAGCCCCAGTGGCACTTAGACATGCAGCCGCTGAATGCTAGTGAGTTGGCCTATTGCACTTGCCTGTGCAGTTTTGGTTACTTACGCCACTGCAGTATAGGTTATCATGGGTCTTATTACCCTTGTGTATAACCATATGGTCATTTTTGGCTTTAGACCCCAGTTTTTCCCAAATATTCTTCTTCAGCTTACGAGAGCTATTGTAGCTTTGTTTGTGAGTTTT